CACTGGTATGAGGTCGGCCGGCCCGATGAAATAAAATGTTAGCGGGCTGCGGCCTGTTTCATTTGGGATAAACAATACTCCGTAAAATATTCAAAAATAAATGAGTAAATTTATAATTAGTTCTTTATATCAATATGTTTTTTCTATTTAGTTTTTTATTATAAAATATTATATCTATAATCTTTCTTTTATAGGTACATTTTCATATTTAGTTGTTTTTTACTTCAATTAAGTTGCTGTTAATTTGAAACCTAAACGTGTAGTTTTGCATTACTTTTAAATTCATCCATTTGCAATGATGTGTTCTGATGTCCGCTTGACGGATAATAAACAACAATGATTCTGTGCGTAGACTAAGATTCTAACTAGAGATGACATAAGTAGCCTATATATGGTTACAAACTTACGGTAGACTAAGACTCTAGTTGACAAATGATATATCAGCAGCGACCTCTTGCATTGACTATGACAAGGATATACAAACATTATAAATTTACATTTTTAGCCTTCAATCTAACACCAATATAACAAAAGATCACTCTGGACAAGTGCGTAAAATTTCTCACAATTTGTATCTAGGAAGGCGTCATGCTCCATGTGATAATTTTTTAAGGCAACACCCATCACACCCTCGTTATACTTCGCTACGACGTTGGTCTATGGCTTTTTGGTAGAAACCAAAAAACCATCTCACTTTAATGTTCACGTCCCGAAACATTGAACTAACAAAGTGAAATAGTTGGTAAGGCCGTTGTTGGATGAGCCCATGAAATTTATCCTTGACTTTATTCCAAAGACCGTCACTTGTTTGCGCGTTGCCTATATTTTCTAAATGTTGCAATTTTAAATAAAGTAAAATAATAAAATGTATTGAAAAAAGGGTGAACTAAAGGAATACAAAGTTTCTTTTTCTTGTGTCGGTTTTCCCCTTTCTGCGGTTTGACCCATACCATTGTGTTTCGGTGTTACGGGACTATTATTATTATTATTATTTTATGGTAAGGAATTATTTATAGTTAGTTAACTATTATTAGGAAATATTATATTTGTTAAGTGATTAATTAGTTTCCTAGTTTATTTAGTTACCTTTTATAATTAGGATTATTAATTATTTAGTTACCATTTATTATTGAGATTATTTAGAGTTGGAGCCTATAAATGTATCCATCACCATAGTTTTATCAATCAATGAATAAAGAAAATACTTTCTCCTAAACCCCCATTTCTCTCTTTCTCGCCTCTTTTGTTTTTGGAGCTCGAAGCTGCTCAAAATTCTTCCCTATCCCGATATGATACCGTATCAATTGGTGCTTTAATTCTTGAACTTGCCCAAAAAATACAAAAAAAATCTACGGCACACGCAATGGATTCTCTGTTGGACAAAGTTCTTGGTTTACTCGAGAAAGTTCTACGGGGACAAATTGATTTTTATGAAGGCGTGTGTGCAGTTGAAGATTCCGTGGATGAAATTATAAAGAAACTTCAGGCATTCCGTTCAATTGAAGGTCAACCAAAATTTGATTCCGAGGTATATGCGTTCTCCGTAGAGGCCTTTTGCTCAATACAAGATTTAGTTCGTGGTCTCCCAATTATGCCAAGCCTGATTCCTATAGAGTTATACATTTTCAAAACAACCATGATGCGCTCTATTAAGAAACTCATCGGCACTCCACGAGATTCGGCCCTTCCTGTACCTGTGCAAAACACAACTTTGCAAGACCAGGAATTTAAAAAGGAAATTTTTATTGATCCTGTTGGTGTTCCTGATGATGATCTTATGATAGATCCCATAGATGTTTCTGTTGCCGTTGTTGATGTTGTTGTTGATGTTTCTGGTGACGATCAACGAGACCACACTATCCAAGCAAAATATTCAAGTGATAGTATCATTTTTTATGGATGCACGGAAACATTTGGGATGTCAGAAAGTGACGACGTTGTTGTCCTTTATGATTCTAGGGATGTCACGCGTGCTGGCAATATTTTCTTCTCATTGGTTCTCTGGAGTTGTTTGCTAGGAGTTGTGAATGCTTTGAGCTTGGCTGAATCTTTTGATGCTCCATTCATAAAGGTCTTTGACCCCGGAGGATGTCCGTTCACAACGCATGATTCCTCGTTTTTTCTAGATTTCCAACTTGAGGACAAGTTGGTTTTCAAGGCGAGGAGAGTGTTACGGGACTATTATTATTATTATTATTATTATTATTATTATTATGGTAAGGAATTATTTATAGTTAGTTAACTATTATTAGGAAATATTATATTTGTTAGGTGATTAATTAGTTTCCTAGTTTATTTAGTTACCTTTTATAATTAGGATTATTAATTATTTAGTTACCATTTATTATTGAGATTCTCTAGAGTTGGAGCCTATAAATGTATCCATCACCATAGTTTTATCAATCAATGAATAAAGAAAATACTTTCTCATAAACCCCAATCTCTCTCTTTCTTGCCTCTTTTGTTCTTGGAGCTCGAAGGTGCTCGAAATTCTTCCCTATCCCGATACGATACCGTATCATTCGGGCACAACATTATTTATACCAAAAATGTCCTACCCCGCTTGGGGTTTTAATAAATGTGATGGCGGTGTAGCGGTCAGTACGTTGGGTATGATGGTGGCGGTGTAGGAGTATAAGACGCTTGAGATGTTGGATGTAGAGGTACCAAAAATGGCATATAGTTGAAACTCAGACCAATTTGATTGGGTTGTGACCATTTTTGAAAATAAATATGGGCAAATGTAAAGAAAAAAGGAAAGAAATAAAAGTAGAAATATCGAGTGGAGAAGGTTTGACGAAAATTTGAGTTACAAGAAGTGAGTTTATAATGAAAAAGTAGGTTTAAATTTTAAATTTCAGTTTTTTAAAAGTTGCAATGCAACATTCAAATGAAAAAAAATGTCAATTGTGCGGCTCGATGTGCGGACGCCGTTCACGCTAAATCCCAATCGGTGGGGGTTAGACCTGATCAAAGTGCGGGTCGGGCCGGGTTTCGGGCCGGGCTGAGACACTACTTTACGAAAATTTTATAGCCCCGAGCCCGTATAATGGGCCTAACAATTGAAGCCCAAGCCCGGCCCGCATGGTTACCCGCGGGCTTCGGCCCGGCCCGGCCGACAAAAACTTCTAAATAATTTAAAAATAATTTTTTTTTTAAAAAAGTAACAAGTTAATATATTAGATATTGATATAAAAACTATTATGAGTAAATGAAAGAAAAATTGATATATAAATATATTTTGTTTGATATTACTACTATGTATGGAGTACAAAATATTATTTATTGGAATGTCATAATCAATGTGTGATACGTTGCAAACAATACGGAGTAGTAAAGATGCATTCATATATTGAATTGTCTAGGAGATTACAAAGATTTAGGAGATTACAAAGATGGAATCCTCTTTATATAAGAAGAGAGTAACACAAATAAGTAAATTCTATTCATACCATAATTCTATTCCTAATATAACAAGAATAGGAAAACTATCAAACCCTAAAACATATCCTAACAGTGTTCCCCGTCGGAATGGCCCGCCACGTCGGCCATGCCGACTCCACACCCCACGACCTGAGGTTGCGCTCTAACCTCAAACTACGTTTACATTTATTGCATTTGTTCAGGCCCGACATGTCATTGTATGTATGTTTAGTTATAGGAAAATGCTAGGGGTACACTAAAGAGGTACCCCAAGTATCTCTCACCCTATCCATAACCACATAAATTAGCATGTGAAATTCAAAAAAATAAATAAAATCAAATAAAAATAAATGGTAAAGAAGCATGTGATGTACATTTAGGGTACACTTTTAGTGTACCCCTAGCAATCCCTTATTTATAATCCTATTCATGCCTTAAAGGGATTCCTATCCACTCATTGAAGATACATCACTTCTCTTTCCTCTATAGCTACGGATACCATAAGTCCAACATGCTGATTTAATTTTAAAGGTCGAGCACTGATTTAATGTGGTATAAAATAGAAATAAAAAGATAAATGTAAACTTTCAAAGGCTGACAAATAAAATTTCAAAATTTTAACGGGATGAATGGAATACTAGCAAAAATTAATCCTTTTACTTTAGTTATTTGACATCAGTGGTCAACGCCATTTTATAACATCAGCCATTTGAACATCTTAAGGTGCTCTCTTTGACCTTAAAGGGATTCCATACACCTCTAGTAAATATAAGTGTAATGATAATATGATGAAAGAGAGATTTCAATTTGATAGAGCAGTGTAACTGGTCAACCGTATGTGAACCACCGATCAATGCTGGTGATCGGTGACGTCTGAGGATAGTGTGGTAGTGGGCTGTGACAAAACAACAATGATACTGTAATTTTCCATTTTATCTAAAGAGATTTGTGAGTTGTACCTTATTTTGATACAAAGTACTCCGCATTTTCTATCCTTTTGTGTGACATCTCCATAATTCTTGTTTTAAAGGTAAAATTGCTCGCTTCGGGCACTCTTCACCCTAACCTGATAAGAATGGGAGAGAAATTAAAATAACCCGACAATAAAAGTTATAAAAGTTAGGATTAGTACTGGAGCTCCCCTCATGGCTCGTGAGACTCAAATCTCTTTTTCCAAAATGGAAAACTAAGGGACTGTTTGGCAACTTCTGAATGGGTAAGTGTTGAACCAATAAGAGGTCTGAATCATTAAGTGCTGAACCAGTAAGAGGTCTGAACCATTAAGAGCTAGTATATTGCTTAACTATTCAGAGGCAAATGTCTGATTAATTCAGATAACAGCTCTTAACCATTCAGACTCTGTATAATACTTAACCATTCAGAGGCAAATCTCTTAACTATTCAGACATCTGAACCATTAAGAGGCTGAAACAAACAGTCTGAACCATTAAGTGCTGAATCATTCAGACATTATTGAACCATTAAGAGGCTGAAACAAACAGTCCCTAAACCGTCTAAACACATTCTTCACATTATTGAACTTTCTGTTTAATCTTCCTGTAATTTCTGGGGTGAAGAGTCTGTGCAAATCGCCGGCGTAAAATTGTTTTCCAAATAAAAATACTCCGTAAAAAAGATGCCGCCAAAGCCCTCCCCTGCAGCCGCCGCCGCCAAACACCACAAACCTTACTTCTTTTATGGTCATCGGAAGCCCACCCAGAACCGGCCCACCGTCCGCGGCGGCCTCTTCTCAAACCGCTTAACCATTAATCCCGCCGCAAAGACTCAGCCGGCTCCATATGATGATTCACTCGACTTTGACCTCCAGAATTGGGACCCGGATTCGAATTCCCGACCCGCCAGAGACCCATCTCGTGAATTCTTCTCCGAGGCGAAAAATCTCTCCCCCATTGCTAGGTATATCGTCGACTCCTTCAGAAAGCACGGCCGGTGGGATACGCAGGTCGTCGGAGACCTCAATCGGCTCCGGCGGGTCACTCCCAAACTCGTTGCCGAGGTTCTGAAGATCCAGAATATCGACCCGAAGCTTTCCACCAAGTTCTTCTACTGGGCTGGTATCCAAAGAAATTAAAAAAAATTCTCTTTTTTTCATTAACTTTGATTCGCAGCAGCAGATTTTCATCTGTTCTTGTTGATGTTCTTTGGCAGGAAAGCAAAAGGGTTACAGGCACGATTTTGCTTGTTACAATGCGCTTGCCTATTCTTTGAATAGAACCAATCAATTTCGCGCTGCGGATCAGGTACCCGAGTTAATGCAAATGCAGGGGAAACCACCTACTGAGAAACAATTTGAAATTTTAATTAGAATGCACTGCGATGCGAATCGGGGTCTTCGAGTTTACCATGTGTATGAGAAAATGATGAAATTCAACATCAAACCGAGAGTGTTTCTCTATAATAGGATAATGGATGCCTTGGTCAAAACAAACCATTTGGATTTAGCGTTGTCTGTTTATGATGATTTCAAAAAGAGTGGATTATTGGAGGAGAGTGTTACATTTATGGTACTGATTAAGGGTTTATGCAAGTCCGGGCGAGTCGATGATGCAATTGAGCTTTTGGGTCGAATGAGGAAGAATCTGTGCAAACCAGATGTGTTTGCTTATACTGCAATGGTGAAAGTGCTTGTTTCGGAGGGGAATCTTGATGGGTGTTCTAGGGTATGGGAAGAGATGGTGAAGGACAGGATTGAACCCGATGTCATGGCTTATGGGACATTCATCACAGCGTTGTGCAAAGGAAATCGATTGGAGAAAGGGTATGAGTTGTTTGAGGAGATGAAGGAGAAGAGACATTTGATTGATAGGGACATATACAGATCTCTGATTGAAGCATTTGTCATTAATGGGAAGGTCGGTTCTGCATGTGACTTGCTCAAGGATTTGATTACTTCTGGTTATAGGGCTGATTTAGCTATATATAACTGTCTCATTGAAGGTCTATGCAAGCATCAACGAGTCGATAGGGCTTATAAACTCTTCAAAGTCACAGTTCAAGAAGATCTCCAACCTGACTTCATCACAGTGAACCCCATACTGCTGTCTTATGCAGAAACAAAAAGAACGGAGGACTTCACAGGTTTGCTTGATCAATTGCAGAAACTGGGTATCTGCGTTAGAGATGATATATCCAAATTCTTTTCTGTTATGGTGAAAAGTTCCAACAGGATAATGCGAGCTTGGGAAATCTTCAATGAGTTAAAACTCAGGTATCACTGCGGTGTTCAATGCTATAACATCCTCATGGAGGCACTACACAGTATAAGGAAAGCGGAGAAGGCTCTAGAACTTTTTCAAGAATTAAATGATAAAAAACTCCAATGTGATTCATCGACCTATAGCATTGCAATTCAATGCTTTGTTGAGATTGATGGTGTAGAGGAGGCGTGCAAGTGGTATAACCGGACAAGAGAGATGTCATTGGTTCCTTCAACTATGGCGTACTATTCACTTGTCAAGAAACTATGTAATGTAGGAGAGATTGATGCTGCTATGATGCTAATACGCGACTGCTTAGGGAATGTCACAAGCGGGCCCATGGAATTCAAATACACGCTGATGATCATCCATGTCAGCAAGTCCAATGATGCTGAAAAGGTGGTCGAAGTTATAGACGAAATGATCGAGCAGAACTGTCCTCCTAATGACATCATATATTGTGCTGTTATTTGCGGGATGTGTATGCACGGAACAATTGAAGAAGCAAGGAAAGTCTTTTCTGTTATGAAGGGGCGCGGACTTCTAAGCGAAAGGGAGGTTGTTGTCTATGATGAGTTACTCATTGAGCAAACGAAAAAGAAGACAGCTGATTTGGTGTTATGTGGGCTGAAGTTTTTTGCTTTGGAAAAGAGGTTGAAAGATAAAGGCTGTAAAATATTGCTGGATTGAAAACACACCAAAGCAAGAATGTAAATTAGTAATTTTGGGGGAGTGTCCAACCATAAGGTGTCAAACCTTACAACCACAACCACAACAACAACAACAAATCCAGTAGAATCCCACAAAAGTATGGCCTACTATGAAGTAGAGAGACTGTTTTCAAGAGACCCTCGGCTCAGACAAAGCTTGCTTTGCAATTTTTTATTGCAAAAAACTGCTTCCAGGACTCAAACAGGTTTGAAAGGTAACTACCATTCATTCATCACATACAATACTTCAGAGCTCCCCATTTTGATTGAACATTCTTTTGAACTCACATTCTCCCGTGGAACTCATGCATGCATGCATGATACATGTGTTGGAGAAAAAACTGTTTGGGATAAGTGCTCAAGAAACCCCATGCCAATAATTATCTTTGTCTTGGGAAACCTGTAGAAGTAGAAGCCTTGTGTGAGTCCCCCGGGCTCTAAGCGGGACACTGCAACGATTGGCTTTACAGCTCTCAAGGCTCTAGGCATTTGTACTCCGTAATTGAATTCCCAAATTATAAGGGTATGTTTGGACCTTGGGTAGTGCCAGGGAAGGGGGGAAAAATTGCCTGACGAAGTTATTTGTATCAGTTTGGCATTAGCATTAGATTTTAATTTAAGGATCTTGAAAAAGGTATTTAATGGTAGTCTTTAGTTTTAGTGTTTCCGGCATGTTCTTTGATTTGGCATTACCCTTGAAAATAGAAACTAAAATGAAACATGATGAATATATATTTATGTAGATGCCTTACTCTAATAGTCTAATGTGAGTTTAAACAAGTATCTAAAATAGATTTATGTTCTTCAAGTTTTCTTGTACTGATATCTCTTAGTTTTCTCCTCCCTACTTAATTTCAAGCAATTTGTTGGTTCCAAACCACCCTTAGCCATATCAACACAGAACCTAACTAGGCAGTTGCATACTCCGAATGCAGATCTCATTTCGGGTCATGTTTTTGCCCATATTTTTTCTCCCTATGCTGCTCAGAGCTGCCCACCGGTGTCCAAAAACCAAGTTGTGGCCCACGAGTCCCGAGCTCGGTCTGAAAAAGTGGCAACAAAGGTTGGTTCTTAGCCGCGACAGACAAACGGAGAGTCGAACTCACGACATCTATTTCGGCATTCGCGAGCACCGGCAGAAGATATGTTGGCCACTAAGGGGTGGTCCAAGATCTGGTAAAAAGGATGTATAAGATCCACCCCACATGCGGTCAAAGGGGGAGTCCAAAGATGAGATCTTTTTCTTGATCTACTTTCTTTATATTATAATGCATGGAAAAGTTAGGCATAGATGATAGAAGTGTTGATTTGATATTTGATCAATTTGGGTGGTTGTTTTATTGAGAGAAAAAAAATATGAATGTGGACCAGACAGACAGTGCACCAGCAGTCCATGTTTCATAGCCACAAATAACCCCACAATTCTTAGTCCCTCAACCCTACAAATTTGCATGTGAACCATTTATGAAAATAGATTTGGTGGCCACAAGCCTTTATTACCCCCACTAAAAAAAGATAAGATGAACCTCATCCAATCCTTAGGGGTTTTTAATAGTAGTTATACAGTTAATTCGATAAATTGAGCTATAATTTTAGTCTGATTAATAAGAGGTGTAATGTGTTACTCCGTATCAAGTTAGATAAAAGTTATTCAATTGAATCGTACTACTTCGAAGTCCGAACAACACATTGCACAAATCATATTGAAAGATTGAATCTAATTGATTAACTCATCATTTTATTCATTTTTTTATTTGAATTCCGACGTAGTTTCTAAATAATTGTTTCCTCTTTAGCAAATTCCATAGTGGACCTATGGTTAACCATGGACCTACATACGAGTAAAATAAGCACTTTTTTGCTAAAGGTGCAAAAAAGTGAGAAAGTCCACAAAAATCATATGCACCTAAAGGTGCACCAAAGAAGCACTCTTCGTCTTTTGAGCATTAATTTTCGTCATGTTCGGCCACAGTGGAAATTCATTTATGGACAGGAGTACGATTCAAATCTATCGGCAGGTTAACCAAAGGGAAACCTGCACGGATAGCTCAACTGGTCTCCAGATTGGACCTTAATAGCGTTTCATCCAATGTTTTGGCTCTTTCATATTCTATCGGAATGGGATGTGGGGAATTCGGAGTGGGCGTTCTAATTTTTAGGTTAACCAAAGGGAAGCAAGTGTTAATGTGTGAAGATTTAGGGCAAGAAAAAGACCCAAACCACCCCACATGCTTTGATTCTTACAACAAACAAACCCAACGTGGATTTGGCATCATTGCCTACGCCACTACATTTGGCTCTTGTCTTCATCACGCACATTTTTTTTCTTTATAATTTTCAAGAATTTAATTCGTGTCATTTGTAAATTTGTTCAGATTGACGGTGGAGTTGGGACTTGGGAGGATAGCTTAGATGACAAAGAAGAAGTGTCAACTGAATCACATGCACATTTTTTGTTTTTTTTGGTTGTCTGACTAATATTATACGAGTAATTTAATTTATCTCCTCTTAGATAATCGTTTGATCTGATCAAATTTCTAGGTAAATGATATTCTGGACTTGAAGTCAACACATTCCCCCCCTCCCCCCACATTTTTGTATGACAATTTTCACAAAAAGTTATTGTAGACTCTATATCGTGATGAATCTCTTTTTTTTCCCCATTTTTTATAAGAGAATTTTCACAAAAAGTGATGTGAACTTTATATCCACCAAATAAGCACTCGAATTTTAATGTATGGAATAATGGGTAGGCTAAAGGTATGCAATGCTTTTCCCTTCAAATATTTTTTTAACTAATTTGACTTAATTAAAATTTTGAAACAAATATTATAAAATGAGAAGTATATAATCACAATTCGTTTAGATGAGTGAAAATTTAGTGAGCTGCATATTTATTATTTCAAAAAAAAAGTCAGAAGTACTCCCTCTGTCCCTAAATAAAGTTCATCTTTCATTTTTTCTTTGTCCTTAAATAAACTTTTTTTTTCCCTTAAAAAACCCCTTACTTTTTCATATCCTACCTATCACATCATACCTTTTTACTAATAATCTACCTATCACATCTTACTTTAACACATCACATCAAGGGTATTTTTGGAAAGTCAACACCAAAATATCCCTCCCTTAAATCCTCAAAAAGTCAAAAATGGAACTTTATTTAGGGAGGGAGGGAGTATTTTTTAAGACGTCCAAAAATAGATAAAGTATTTTGGAATAATAGAAGTATGATAGTACATGAATGATTGCACTCGTGCTCTCAACTTTTATTTCAACTAAAAGAGTTGCATGTTATTGTTTACAATTTTGATTAAATTTATTTTCAATTCAATTTATTTGCAAATTAGTAAAAAAAATTAAAAAGAAAATCTATATATTTAAAAACTACATCAAAAGTGCTACAAAATAAGATGTGACAAGATTATATTATTTTTTTCAAATGAGTCACGAAAGTAGAGCGACAAACGGCATTAAAGTTTAACATTGTCAATAGTGAACAGACAACTTAAATTGGGACGAAGAGAGTACAAGTTTTACCCATGCGATATACTACCTCTGTCCCTGAGTATTTGTTCAATTTTGACTTTTTTCGCTCAACTGTTTTCAACCTTTGACATATAATTAAATAAAATATATATTGTATATTAATTAGATAAAATAATATTTTGAAAATATTTGATATGATAAATCTAATAAAATTATTTTTGTATCAATATCTAATATCATTTTTATTTAATTTAAAATCAAAAGTGAACAAATACTCAAGGACGGAGGGAGTATATCGCATGGGTAAAACTTGTATAATACTATTGAAAATTCGAGATACTCCGTATATCGGAGGGAGTATAATACTTGTATAATACTTGTATAATGCCGAGATATATCGGAGGGAGTATTGAAAATTCTCTATTAATAATACTTTCAAAGAGTTAATTCTGTAAAGAGTCTTTTATAATAGAGAATTTTCAATATATAGTCATCAATCTTAAGAGTTAAGGTATATATTTTGTTTATGATCTGCTCTATATTTAAGAACTCTTATAAGATTAATTCTTTTGTGGACTAGATGTAAAAATAATATTTGAGTCTAAAAGATTGATCATAAAATGATTATTCAATATAAAGAACTATTAGAGTTAATGATTATTATTAAAAAAATCATTTGTTAATATCCTATAAAGAACTATTTATAAAAAAAATTACACTATTGTTAAATAAATACGGATCAGAGTACTCTATATTTAATATTCCATATATATTTGTGAAGGATGAGCCCCATCCCTGAAAATACTCGCAGACCCGGTCGGACGATCACTGAGAGACGATAAATTGAAATTTAATCGCAGATTGGTGACAAAGAGTGGAGTTCTGTTCTTGGTACTTGCAACGGTCCTAGTTACCTCCCAACGCAGTTGTTAGGAATTGAACTCGAGCCTTATCTCTTTAGCACCCCTTACCTTGCCAACTAGGCAACACCCACCATCAAATTCCATATATGTTCCATATATATTTGTGAATGCTTGTATAGGGCCCGCATGGGTAGCTCAGTTGGTCAAGAGCGTGAAATCTTGGACCGATGACCAGGGATCGAGTCCCGCAAGCGGCAGTGTGGGAGCTATCCAAAAATCCCATAAAGGGTGAGGAGGCTCCTTGTGCGCGGTGGGCACGGGTCTAGTGTTTTTGGCCGACTGAGTCACCATGATTTACATCCTCCACCATTCCTGTCGGGCAAGGGGGTGGGGGCGTCTGGGGTGGGCGATTCCACCTTTTGGACCGGTGAATGCTTGTATAGGCACCTAAATTGAGATCAAGTTATTGGATTGAATATAGTATTGTACGGACTACGGAGTAATAATTTGCATTTATAAATACGGAGTATATTTTTTGATACACAACATTAACTTCCTAATTACAATCATGACCATGACAATTGACAACTCTATGCACGATAAAAAGATTGTGATTTGAGTTTATCCGAATTAATTTCAGATTTTACTTAAAACATAAAGACATGCGCGTATTAATGTTTAATTAACCACACAGTCTATACATGACTGGCAACCCCCAAATTCATTGGACTAGAGAGACCTAAGGCACTAGAGGCCATCATTCTTTCGGGACAAACCTTTGTTGGGTTTACTTTTTGCACATAAAAAAAACATTAGAAAAAGAAAAGTTACCAATATGCTCATCCCTTTTTGTAATAAACGATAATGTAATTAGATATTTTGGGTAATAAACACTCCCTACTATAAAACAATAAGGGTAAAATGGTAAAGTTATTTTCTACAATTTGGCAAATAACGATAGAGACCGGATGAACTCATCAGAAAGACAGATCGAGAGAGTACTCCATTCAAGAGAGGACACTATTTAAAACAATGAGTAGCTCCGAACAGTCAGTAGTGGTTGCGAGTAGTGATGGGCGGGACTAGTGATGTGTGACAAGTGGCTGCCGCGAAATCGTGTTATAGGTAAATTGATAAAGTTATGAATTAAGGTTTTGAATAAAAAAAGGACATTTTGGTATATTTATATAATTTAATTAAATAGATACCATTTAGAGAAACAAAAAAACTATCCTATTCGAGAAAATGACAATGATTAACTTATATTTTAAATATTTTTCTCTATTGTCATTGATTTATTCTCATTTTCTTTCAAGCATTATTTTTAATGTTTTATGTGTCCTCTAAAAAGATCTTGTAAAACAAAAGAGTACAATTTTTAAAGGAAAAATTATCAAGAATTATCAAGAAATTTTTTCTTAAAGTATAATACTACGTAATAAGTTCACACTTCTGTTCAGACCTTGTGTCCATATCCATTCGTGAACATAATCAAGTCAAGCTCCTAACTTGGCGAAGTGGTCACACTTCATGTTCATATAAGTAGAGCTTTTAATCATGTTCGGTAATTGCAACACTTTTTCAAAAGATCTATAATGACATTCAACCTCCTTTTCCATTGTAGCACCAAACACTACTCTCGGATGATATTTATCATTTACCGTTTACAATTACTATGTGAACTACTTGTCTACATTGAACTCAAGATCTAGCGTTGTACTAGACATAAAATCGTGTTTTCCTTCACACGTAATTAATTATGGACTTAATCTCATCCCTCGTATATTTTGAATATTTAATCCTTTTCATTTCTTCATTATGATCTAGAATAAATAATACTCTT